TACCAGGCCGTAAAGTTATAAAAACCAGCTACGGGTCTCTCGTTGTTTTGTCCGCGTGTTGTCAAAATTTAATAATAAACGTTGAACCTAAATATAAAAATAAACTTTGAGAAATACCAAATACATATTGTACTAAAATCGAAAAATGACAAATAATATTTAAAAAGCCCCTCAAACGTAAACACAAAGTTCCATATAAAATCCAAAAACATAAAAGTTAAAAAATGAGATTGTGATCTCAGAGGTACGCCGGGACTGTTTTTTAAAATCCATCCAGAACTACCGGAGTGGGGCCTCAAGACATAAAAAGATGTCTGAAGGCCGTCAAAAAACACCTTGAAAGACAGAGATTTTGGTCATCGCAATCAGTTGTACGCGTTTGGCACCGAAGATCCTTTGTTTTTAGTATTGTTTTTGCCGAGTTTCATATGTTATTTTATTTTTGTTGTTATTAAGTTTTACATTTTAGGATGGAGCTAAGCCTTGGAAAAGAACTATTAACTCCCGGCAAGAAACCCTATCTAAAGCTCCACGTAATAAGCGTCGAAACACACGGGACTGGAAAGAAGGTACGATCATATGGAATGATTAGAGGACGAGAACACGACATTGCGATCTGATTTGTGGCCTGGAAACAAGCGGCACTAAAGTTGGAAAATGGCTCGGGAACGGTAAGTAATTTGAAATTGTTTACAAAGATAATACTTTAACACCACTGTTATACTTTGTAAATTTTTGTTTTAGCTCCAGTTCACTTTTGTACTAAAATTTGACGTTTTACGGTTTCAGATTCAGCTCTGGCTTCGCCTGTTTATAAATCAACGCTCCGGTTCCAGCTCTGAAGCCCTTGTTAGCTCTGGTACCAAATCAAATGATCTCATGACTTAAAGCTAGTTTACAGCTATACACACATATTAAGAATTCCCACGGGCTTCGGACCCGAGCTAAAATTTAAAAAAAAAGCTTTCTCTTTCAAGGCCTAGCACGCTTTTGTGTTTTAAATTTAAATTATATAGATCCGTAGCCAGAAATTGTCAATTTCAGTACAAAAGACCTCTGGAGGCGAAGCTGGAGCCGGAGCTAAAAATTTGAAATTTGGAAACTCTGGTTATGACTAATGCAAAAATGAAAAAGTTTGGGCCGGCACTCGTGAGCCCTAGGGCCGAGGCCTAAATCAAGGCCTAGCACGTGGGCCGGGCCAAAGAATTAGGCTCGGCTCCTTTACAAAGCTAATTGAGACTTTTATAATATAATATGGCATACTATTAAATTATTACAATTAACATACCTTTTGTCTAAGTTGCTAGTACTACACAAAATACGCATTTTTTCCACTTACTATTTAATGTTTTTTCTAGTTTGTTACCTAAAATCTTATTCCTAGTAAATATTGCCAAAAAATTAACTTATACTAATGTATAAAAAGTGCACCTCTGATTGCATTACCAAGTTATACCTAGTCTTTTATTTTTCATAGCGTCAGAACGTGTTACAGTTGTTAAAAACTGAACTATGGTTTTGAATTTTTAAAAGTTAACCAACATTATTTAAACATTTATTGTTTAGCTGAATAATTTATTCCACCTACTATAAGGAGACGGTGTAACTTTGGTCTACATAGTAATTAGCTTTGTTGCAATAAAAAATGGCATTAAACGTATTGGTTTTTAAATATTTTAACTTCTGACATTTGAAAGCTGGCTAACTACTATAATATCTTTTACAGTATTTTTTCTATACGTCTATTGATAACACGCTTTTACATTAGTTTTCGACTCTAATACGACCAATAATAACGTGTTTTTACCTTGGCTTTGGATCTGAATATTGGTGAACTTCTAATGCTTGTAACGGTGGCTTCTACTACCGAAAACAACTGTTGCTTCTAGTTGTATCTCTAAATAAAGATTCCTATACTTAAAGTAACTACTACCTTTACCAAAAACCCAATACATTATATTCCCCCTCAGCTATGTCAACTTTTACGGCCAAAAACCCGTTTGCTTATGCAGTACAACAACCTCCTGATGATTCCAACACCCTGCGTACTAAACTATATTTAAAGGTGTACTATGTAACCCACTACGTTGTGTTTGTAGCCAGCTTTTCAATATGCTTGACTTTAATATACCTTGTACTCAAAAAGAGTGGCAAAATGGAAAAGGCGTATAAAACAATATTATTGGTAAATGCGATTAACGAAACCGTATTGTGTCTACTGGTTTTTATACCTTCACCTGTGAGTTTGTTATGATATTTATGACAATATTAAAGTTTATGTAAAGTGTATGAGTGTAAGGTTGGTTGAGCTATAGAATTTTTATACGAGAAATGGGTTGAAATGTGAAAATAAAAAAAATATTTAAAATTTTTAATTACAAGGAAGGTAACCGACCTGCAACGCTCAGATTCTATCCATACTTTTTTTGTAGCAAGATCATGTAGATGTAAGATCTTATGCCAATTATTAACTTGCGGTTTGCGTCCAGCCTTGAGAAAATTGAGATCAAAAAAATACTTTTCGAACTTCCCGTCAAATTGGCATTGTGTTTCAAGCTTATAACTTTGCCATTTTTTGACTTTTAGGAATCTTTGTTTGATATACTAGTAGAATACCTTTAAATAAACCTACATTTTTAAATTTGTAGGCGTAGCTTGCCTGGAATATTGAAAAGTGTTTGAAACACAATGCCAAATTTTCCAAAATAGAAGGAAATCAAAATAATTTAAATTTAAAACACAAAAGCTTGATCTAAAAATTTTTATATGTACTATTAGTAGTACAAGGAATTTATATAAAAAATTTATGTTGGATTTTGAGCGGGACAGGTTGGGCACCGCACGTCAAACCGAAATAAAACAAATTTGTGAAATAAAGCGGTTGTGGCGTTTCGTCAACGCAGAAACAGAAATTGCTGCGCTTCAAATATCGATTGAAAATAATAAAATAAAAAAAGCAATCAATTTTTTAAAATGTGACACTACGCGCTGTTTTGTTAGACGAAACGCCACGTTGGTTCTATTTCACCTCTCGGTATGACGTGCACCGTCCTTGTTAGTTTTTGCGGGTAGACCTAAAAAGACGACCAAGAAAATTTAAATAGGCCTGGCTGGGATGGCACACTGAGACCGTGAGCCGGGAGGCAATTCAAGATTCGTTCCAATTATTTTACATATTTATTTAAGGAGCTTTCCTTAGCAAGGGGCTTTCTCCTATCCTTATCTTATCCTAATCCTACTTTCGCTCTTTTTTGCTTTACCCTTGCCCCAACTTTACCTTAGTCTTACCCTAGTACAAACTTAGTCCTATCTTACCTATGGTTCAATCCAAGCCCCGCTTTGCTTTAGCCTACTTAGCTTTTATCTATTCCCATGTCAGCTTCATATAGAGTTGTTTGAGTTATATAATACCATCAGGGACGTCGCTACGGATTTTCTCTGGAGGAGGGGGAGCCCAAAAAAAAATTTTTTCGTCCACAGGTCGGTCCTACCTGTGGACCGATTTTCCAAAAAAATTTTTTTTTCGTTTTTTTGCGTACAGGTGTGGAATTTTTTTTCGGATCGGCTCTGGGGGGAGGGGATACCCCCCTCCCCCTCCCCCTCCCCCCAAACGACGTCCCTGAATACCATAACCAGAGTTTCCAAATTTCAAATTTCTAGCTCCTGCTCCAGGGATCTTTTGCACTGGAATTGACGATTTCCGGCCCCGGCTCCAGCTTCGGCTCCGCTTTTTTTAAACTTTAAATCCGGCACCAGCTGCGGAGCCCGTGAGAACGCTGACCATAACTGTACTATTGCTCTTAAAAAATATTAAATTTTCAGAACACTGTAATAACAGACGGTACTGTGCTATGGGTTAATGAAGGAATAATCAGCCTAATAAAATCATACAATGTTCAGTTATCATTTATATTCTTCACTTGTACACAAATTTCATTTCTAGTGTACTCATTAACAGCTACATGCATTTGTCGTTACTTATGCTTGTCAAAGTAAGTTAAACATAGCAAGAAAAAGCGGTTTCTATGACCATAATGACATTATTTTGTGGCTTTGGACTATTACAATAGGAATATAACAACTTGAGAGAGTGGCAAAAACTATTTGGACTATTACAATTTCTTTTTTGTTTGAAGGGATCGTAATCAAAGTAAATTAGTAGCCGTAGTTGGAACCAAAATTATAAGTACATGACCTTCGTTGTATGATATGACGAATTCATTACACGATGTATACGATAAAAACCCAACAAAACACACAAAAATATGGATAACAAAAAGCAGTACAAAGTAGTGAAACATACAGTAATCCTCCGTAATGAATACCCAGGTGAATATTGCATTACCAATTGCTTCATTGCGCGGACCGGCGAAGGCAGCCGCTGATGACGGTGTTGCAGTGGATCAGTTGTGGATAAAAAATGACGTAGTTGCGCCATCGAGCTCGTGTCATAGCGGCGGTTATACGGTACGCGTTGTTGTTAATGCCGGTTAGCTACGGTATGACTGTGAGTATAACTGAGACCATATATACGCCCTTGTCTACAATCAAACGTCCTCGACTACTATTAAACGTGAGTACGGCGATGTCGGCTGCCGGGTGTTGGACGCGGACTACGTCGATTATAACGGCAGCATCTAAGCGGGCTAAAGCGTACGACGATATCACTGCAATATTGTATATTCCATCGGCAAAGCCTGGCGCTTGCATTAGCTTCAGCAGTGTGCCTTTGGCAACTGCTATCTGACCCGGGTTCGTGTAGGATGGATAGGTTGAGCGAGCCGGCGCCTCCTACGGTATCAACACAAACGGGCGGGGATTCAGGTAGGACCTGACCGTCGGTGGTATCACTTGGAATTTGTGGTATTGTAATTGGTTGTTGTAAATTACGGCGCTGATGATTTTTATTAACATAGGCTCGTATCTGTACGTATAGTCGAGTTTTGGATGACGGACCCGTGGGTCCTGTAGTAGTGTGGTGAGGAGGGACCGGGCTCCAAATGCCTGAATCCGCGCGCCATTTTCGGGTCGGAGAAGGCGGTGAGTTGCTGGGGGTTCCCACGAACATGAAACGGGAGATGGCGGCGGCTGGTGAGGCGATTGCGACGGCCGTTGTACTGTTGGTAATACCACCTACGTCAATGATCAGCGTCCCGATGCTTACGTTGGTTTTAAGCAAGAGCGGTAGCAGCATGACGGTTGTGGTGATGATGGTCAGCGGAGCACTGTTGAGGAGTTTGATAGTCTGTCCGGATTTTCAATGTCTTGCTCTCCAGCTTCTGTTCCAAGTGACCGATTACGGAATACTGATGTTCACGATTGACAAGCCCGGTCAAGTCCATGAATCTTACGACCACGGTTTCGGACCGTTCCATAGGATGTGTAAGTCGTCAGCGGGTGTTTTGGTCAGCGCTTCGGCAATGTTTACGCAAGCCTCATTACTATCCGCGGCGGCAATGATAAGAGGTGCGAGTACGGAATTCATCATGGCTTCAATTATCGTGGCTATCAGTCGAGTCTTCCCACTGCCCGCAGCCGCTGAATTTGCAACTACCGCCTGATCAGGGACCAGCTCCAGCGCGGATGCTGCTCGTGTCTCGTCTAGAGAGGAAGCGGTTATCATTTCCTCGAAGCGGCTTTGAGCAGGAGTGTTTGTGGCAATCTGTGTTGTAGCGTCGGGTGATTTTAAGGACGCCAAGATTCTGAAGACCCTTTTTCAAAAAAAATCATCAAAATCGGCTTAAACAAAACTCTTCGCGCTGAAGAACGCAACTGTCTTTCAGTGAATCGTTGGCAAAAACTAACAAGAGAACAGCGTCTTCGATCAGAAGACGCCAGGTCGACCTCTAATCTGATTGCGACGTCCTTCTTATAGGCCTTCTTTTCCGTCGCCTTGGCCCGATCGGGCGATCGGGTGGGCACGGACTTTGGACTATTACAATAGTCCAAAGTGATTGTAATCTCCTGCTACTTGACTAAAGTTTATTGATAAAGAATATAGTTAAATATAATTAATATAATTATATAATTAAAAATATTTTTTAGAACTCGACCACTTAAAACATGGAGAATATTGCTAATATACGGAATAACTTATTTCTTTGCTTGTCTTGTTGGCCTTGTAGTGATACCTTTTAAAATAAGCGGCAATGTGAGGCCAGGTTTTAACTATGCTACGCTTTGGTATCCTCATGATGAGTTGCCTATTATAATGCCTTGTGATTTGGCAAGTTTTTTGTCAGATAAACAATATGTTTAAATTTATAAAAATTAAAAAAATTTTTTTTTAAATTTAATGCTACATTTTTAAATTGTAAAGTTTTTAGAGAGCCTGGTCTGGAAGAATATTATTTTCTTACATTATATCGTCGTTTACTGTTGCTTACCTTGTTGCATTGCTGTTTTCTTACTGGACTGTCAAACAACTGATAGCGGTAAAAGATCGGATGAGTAAACGAACAATTGATATGCAACGGCAACTTACTTTAATGCTGATTATTCAAGTAAGTAAAGCTCTAGCTCAAAGCCCTAGCTTAGAGTCCTAGCCTAGAACCCTAGCTCAGAGCCTTAGCTCAGAGCCTCAGCCCAGAGCCTTAGCCCAAAGCCCTAGACCAGAGCCTTAACTCAGAGCCTTAGCTCAGAATCCGAGCCCAGAGCCTTGCCTGCTGAGTAACTACTCTTGCCAATCTGACCGCGATGAACCCTATCTTTATCCTAGCTATCAGCCTAGTCTCTTAACCAATCTTATCTTTATTCTAATGTTATAACTTTTGCATTTTCAGGCCATAACTCCAATATTTGTTGCATTTGGCCCAGTATTCTCTGTGATATGTGCAGTCGCATTTCAATTTGATGCTGGTGTTTTGACATTAGTCTTCTGTTTTTTCTTGACTTGTTTTCCAGCGTTAAGCCCATTATCAACTATTATTGTGATTAAGCCATTTCGAATGGCTGTGTTTCAGAAGTGTTATAAAGTTTGGCATTCTGAAGCCAATTCTTCTACGATTTCTCATTCTCAAAATTAATTTAAATCTTATTTTGAAAAATAATAAATTCAACTTTTCTAAATTTTTAATTTTTTAAATTTTTTTAGCTGAGTCAAAAAGTCTTGTCGTTTTTTATTGTAAAAAGTAAATTAATTTGACGACAAAACTTTTACTAATCTTTTAAAATAATACTGTGCTCTCTATCAAAGTAAATTTAAACTTTCAAGATGGAGCACATAATTATTTGAACAACCTAATACATAATACTTATCAATATTAGCCCTTTCATAAAGATAATCAAATCACAAGACCAATCCTCGCCATAAAACCAACAATTTGCTACATCAACAACACTATAAGACCCTTTATCAATTCATAAGTACAGATTAGAAAGAGAAGAACAAGATAATCAATTGATCAATGGAATACGGTCACCACGCTTGTCATAAACACAATTGTTGCCATTTTGATCAGATAATGAGAATGGAAGAAGTCGCTTCTTTGAAGATATTTTGGAAGTCACTTCTTCCATGTAGTCACCTTGTTATACCGTGTGTTTTTCCGAGAATATAAAAAATGGGTGTTGTTGTAGACGTTGTAGTTAGTATGTAAAAATAGAATTGTGTTTTGTATTTGAAAGTTGTACTCAGAAGTTGCAAAAATTAACTTTATGATCTAAAGGTTAAGCGATAGAGCGTTTTTCGTCAAAAAAGTTTTGAAAAAGAGAAAAGTGAGGGAGGGGATATTGCTATAAAATTGATAAGCTCTATTGGTCTTTCTTAATCAGTAAGAAAAACTTTTTTTAGTTTGCAGCTCCTTGCTAATTAAAAATTTTTTCAACTTTTTTATTTGGGGCAAAAGCTGAGCTAAAAGCTAGGTCTAGGTCTAGGTCTAGGTCTAGGTCTAGGTCTAGATATGAATCTATTAGATGAACGTCTAGAGTCAAGGCTAGAGCTAAGGCAATTGATAACACTAATTTTAAATGCTGTTGTTAGTCCTGAGTTTGATCCGTTTAATCAATATAACAAAAATTGATAAAATCATAGAAGCCGCAAAGATCGCTCACCAAAACCGGCCATTCTTGTCACCTCATGACCCTTTATACGTTGCGGTACATTGTATAATGTTTCTAAAGCACGTTGAGACCATTTGATATTAATTACAAGTTTAATTGTTACACTGTTTAAATTGAACTCTAAAAACAAACTTTTTGCTAAAGAATGTTCTACAGTAATTCACGCTGATTGAGTGATACTTTACAGCGTGAAAAGGCGGCGACACCTCGTTTTTTGTAACTGAATATAGTCTTTATGCAACATTACCTTGTGCTTGTTACTTAAACACCTTTTTGTTGTTGTGTTTCAATGGATTCTACAGTAGTATGGAGCGAGGGTGGAAGGGTAGGGTAGGGTAGGGTAGGGTAAGGTAGAGTAGGGTAGGGTAGGGTAGGGTAGGGTAGGGTAGGGTAGGGTAGGGTAGGGTAGGGTAGTGTAGGGTAGGGTAGGGTAGGGTAGGGTAGGGTAGGGTAGAGTAGGGTAGGGTAGGGTAGGGTAGAAAAGTCTTGTCGTTTTTTATATTGAAAAGTTATGTAATTTGATTTTATTTTGACTATTAGCCTCGTTCTATATACCACTAATACTCGTTTTACAGTACTAAAAAATATTTTTTATTTAAAAGCTTCAGAGATGTTGTTCAACCCAATTGACAGTTTTTACCATTTCGTGAAGAACATAAGTAACATCATCAGCAATAAGAAGCCTGGAGTTGAATTCGGCGTTCCTGATGATACTCCAGGACCAGTGGTGCGGATTGACAGTGGGTTGGTAGAAGGGTTTGTTCATAAAACAATTAATGGAGATGCAAACTGCTTCTTGAGCATTCCATATGCTGGGCCTACAGAGCGATTTGAGGTAAATACGTCTATTAGTAGTTAGCAAAATTTAAAATTTACATTTAAAAAAAATAAAAATAACTCTGACTTTTTAAAATTTAATGTTTTAAATTTATCTTTTTAAAAAACCAATATATTTTGTGACATTTCGCAGCATTTTAGTTTTATAAACCATTTTTCGAAAAACCAATAAATATTGTGACATTTCACAACATTTCACTTTTAAAAACATCTTATCAAAAAAATCGATATATTTTTTGACAAAGCAAAAAAAATCAATATAGTTTTTGACATTCCGCAACACCTTCATTATAGCGTGCACAACCCCCACAACCCTGGAACAAAGTCTTCAAAGCCAAGAAGTTTGGCTTCGTATCTGTTCCTCATCACGATGTAGCTACGAAATGGGAATACCATGAAGATAGTCTGACTGTAAGTGTATTGGCACCAGCCGAGAAACGGGAAGGTGGATATCCAGTGGTCTTCTTTAGTCATCCTAGTGCCTTTTCCTTAGCTTCGGCAAAGACTATGAGATACGAAGGCTTCTGTGAGAATATTGTGAGCCAAGGATGTGTTTTTGTTATGTTCCAGTATAGATATGGGTATTTGGGTGAGTTAATATGATTTATGAGTTTGGGCCGTAAGACAATCTTTAAAATCTGAATTTTTAAAAATATTTTGTTTTATTTTGACAAAATAGTAGTATAATTAATTTTAACTAACAATCTTCGAAATATTTTTAAAAATTCAGGTTTTGCCTCAACCGGTGACTCAGTTCTACCAGGCAACCTCGGTCTACATGACCAAATCCTAGCTCTAGACTGGACCCTTAAAAACATCCACGTCTTCGGCGGAGACTCCAATAACATTACTGCTTGGGGAATGTCAACTGGAGGTATTTGCTCATCCCTTCTAGCTATATCTCCAAAAACTCAGCGACATTTCCGTGGCCATATTCAGAATTCCGGTGGAATCTTGGAGCCAAGTTTGTTTGGAAATCATGTTGTACTTGAAACAAGAAAGCTTGCTAGAGCTTTGGGGTGTACTTCTGATGACTCTGAAGAAATAAAAAGATGGTTGAAGAAGGCTACAATTAAAGAGTTGATGGATGCTCAGGAAAAGATTGGCATTACGAGAGATATGTTCAAGTTCAGATGGGTACCGAGATTGGATGGGGATTTGTTCTCTGAAGATTTGCCTGAGCTTATAAAGAAGGCCAAGCCAGTACCGTGCTTTTCTGGGTACACTACTGATGAAATGCTGTACTTTTGTAAGTTTTTTGTAAAAAAGTAAACATTGTGTGTTTTGGCAATATTATAGTAGAGTGAGGGTTGTAGTTTGAAACTTTACTTACAGCGTTCAAACTTATTTTAGTAAGTTTAAAAATTATTATAAAAATGCCCGTAGGCAAAAAAAGTAAAATAAATTTTTTAGTAAAAAAAAAATTTTTAATTTAAAATTTTTTAGACAACGGTTTTCTAAAAGACGGTGCCAATTTGTATGTAGATGAAGAAAAGTTGAATAAATTTGATAAAAATGAACTGATTCACAAAGTGCGTAATCTACTGTTTACTGAAGAAGACTATGGCCCAAATCATAAAGCTATCGCTAATAAGGTGTTGGATTTCTACATCACAGAAGACGCTCCTAAACATAAAGACCCCATCTACTGGCTTCATATTGAGAGACGGGTATGTTTGCATACAAGAAGTTGTACAAAAAGAATATGACAAAGTAGGGATGAGAATAGTATTAAAGCTAGAGCTAGAGCTAGAACTAGAGCTAGGACTATAACTAAGACGCACAGAACTCAAGACCACAATCAAGCTATGGAACGTAGACCAAGGCCAGTAATATGCTATTGCTATACGCTATGTTAAATATGTTTTACACTTTTCGCAACAAACTTACTGTTCTTTTGCCTTTACTGTAGTTTAATATCGTGACAAGTCAATGAAGAAGATTGTGCGGATGATTGATTGTTAAGATTAAAAGGTTCATTTGTCAATCGCTACTGAATAGTAAGAGTATGTAAACAATTCCATTACAGTTTTAAATTGTTTGCGTGAAAAATGATAAGTGATTGTTAATGCAACTTTTATTTATAGGCTGTGTAAAAATTGAAAGTATACGTTTATGTTGATGGTAAACTTAGAAAAAAATATATTAATAGGGCTGTACAGGGTGCGCCAAAAGTTCTGTTACATGGTTTTTTACTCAAATATTTATTTTAACAACAAATATGACTAAAACAACAAACGAAATGAAAAAACGCGAAGAATAAGCTAAAGTACAAAATTTTAAATAATTTAAAGCAACCCAGAGAAAACGACTGGTAAAGTTTTGTAACAGAACTTTTGGCGCACCTTGGAAAGATACATTAAGATCTGACATGCAAATAAGGTATATAATATCACAGTAAAGCTACTAAAAACAAAATAAAAAAAATAATTTTAGTTGCTATCCCATCTTGCCATATTGGTTCCGATGTATATGGAAAACAAGCTGAAAGCTGACAGCGGATGGCCAGTTTATGTCTATCAAAATGCTCATTGGAGAGAAGAACATTTCGATCCTAAGGACAAAACTGCACCACTAAGAGGGTGTATGCATGTTAGTGAAATGAAACAGTTTTGTGGTGCACCTGTACCCACAAAATATGAAATGAATGAAGATGATTTGAAACACAAACACGCCTTGGTGCAAAGTCATATAAACTTTTTCAAAACTGGGTAAGTTAGTACATTTTGGTTTATAGGATCTGATCTAGGCCTATTATAACTCAGGCTCAGTTCAAATCTGTGCTTATTATAACTAAGGCCCAGTTCAGATCTGGGCCTATCATAACTCAGGCCCAGTTCAGATCTGGGCCTACCATTACTCTTAGGCACAGTCTTTAACCAAATTAGCCTTCCAAGCGCTTAATCTAGCTTTAGCTGCTTTCTAGTGTTATACAGATAAATGTAAAATACGCGCAATTTAAGTTTCCATTTATTATATCTGGGCCTATCATAACTCAGGCACAGTTCAGATCTAAACTTATCATAACTCAGGCCCAGTTCAGATCTGGGCCTATTATTACTCTTAGGCCCAGTCTTGAATCAAATTAGTTTTCCAAGCGCCCAATCTAGCTTTAGCTGCTTTCTAGTGTTATACAGACAAATGTAAAACACGTCTGATCTTATTTTTGTTTTTTATAGAAACCCATCATTTGATGACGTAGAATGGCCACAAGTCACATCCGAAAACTACTGTGTTAACGTCGCTTTGCTGCCAGAATCCAAAATAAACCCAAAGTTTGAAGGGGACCAAAAAGCCCTTGAGTTTTGGCTCGGCATGATTGAAGAGTTTGGGGATTCTGTTATCAGAACTATTCATGGAGGCCAAATGTAATCGTTCAAACTGTAAAAAATTTATTTTTGTTACAGTACAATACTGCAAATGTATCAAATGGCTAATAATTTTACATTTTTAAAAAAACATCTTACTGTACATAGAAGATATTCCTAATAAAGTTGTATTATTTTTAAACATTTGGGATTATGACATAAGATATGTCACATAACTATTAGTAAAGCGTTCAAAGAAGTTTGTACACCGAATGAAGCGTCGGTGATTACGCAAGATCAGCCAAAATATGCGGCTATAAACGCACCCGTCTTAGCAGGATAAGGTTTTGTTCTTCATTTTAAAATAACTTTTGTATCTTTATTTTTCTCTCCAGATGTCGTCGATCGCAGTTGAAGCTTTCCCTGAACGCCCACCTTTAAAACAGACGACACCACGTAGATGGTTCAACAAGATTGATGTTCGAATTGAAGTTTTGAAAAGAAACTTGTTGAAAGTTTCGAATTATATTCCAGTAAGTTTAGTTATTTAAACTATAATAAGTAGCCACAGTAAAATTCAGCTAAGTAGGCTCTGTTTACAACAAAATTTCCGTTATAACAAATTTTTATGAATCTCCTAAAAAAACTTGCCCCGCTCAGAACAAGCTCAAAATTTTTAAATGGATTTCTTGTCGTACCAATAGGACATACATGTATAAAAAATTTTAACTTGCGCTTTTGAGTTTTAAATTTCAATTATTTTGGTTTACCGCCAATTTGGAAAATTTGACATTGTGTTTCAAGCACTTTTTTTAAACTTTTCAGACAAGCTACGCTTAAAAATTAAAAAATTTAAGTTCATTTAAAGGTATTCTATTAGTAAATCAAAGAAAAATAGTTAAAAGTCAAAAAATGACAAAGGTATAAGCTTGAAACATAATGCCAATTTAGCTGGAATTTCAAAACGTAATTTTTTGATTTCGATTTTCTCGAGATTGGCTGGAAAACGCAATTCACTACTTTGCTGAAGATGTTATATCTACATGATCTTTCTATATAAATAAAAAGTTATCTATCAGAGCGGGGCAAGTTGGGTACTTTCTTTGTAAGTATTAAAAATCGATATGATTTTTTAGGGCTTATTTAACAAAAAAGACCCCAAAGCCCAAAAACGGGCGGCTGCATACAGCTGTAAAGAAGAACCAGCCAAAAAGATTCGGTGCCTAGAGCCTGATAACGACGATACTTTTATGGACTACGAGGATTCGTTCTAAAGTCAATTGAGAACTAAACCCAAGAAAACTATACTTTATAAAATTAATTAATTAAAAGCTTTAAAATGATTTTTTTCATCATTATATATAATAAATTAAACGTTTTAATCCTGTAAAAAAATATTACAAATATTAGGTTAAACTAATGTCAGCATAAATTATTTTGCGTTTTTAGAGCACCTATGGTAAGTACTGTTGATTTACAAGAATTAAAAACTAACCTGTCATGTGAGTTATAAATCTTACTAATTTACATAAACATTCAAATCGTTTTCAACTTAAAACTGTATAAACGTTTTTTTTCTGTACGTGAGTTTTAAAATTTAAATTGCATAACGTACGAATTAAACCCTGTAGTTTGTATATAGTAGCTTAAGGGAATTCTAAACTGTATCATTGTTTGTGTAGCTGGATTGTGAAAAATATAGGAATATGAATATTATCCAGACTGAATAAACTTTTAAAAAACGGTGTGAAACAAAAAAAATATAAAAATACAGTAGAGCCCTTGTATAACGAACTACTCTATAACAAAATTTCCGTATAACAAACAACTTTTAAATTCCCGGCTAACACAGTGCATTTAAAGCTCCTGTATATCGAAACTCCTTCATAACGAACAAATTATGAATCCCCAAACAATTTGTTATACAGTTCCACTGTATTGATTTTAACAAAAAAAAATTTTAAATCAACTTAAAAAATAAAAAAAAATTAAAAAGAGCCCGGGTGTAAGCTATGCCAACCTTTAACCCTCTCCTTGTGACTGATACCACCCGCCTAGCACTGTGTATAAGAATGAATTGTAGATTTTAACTAACTGTATACCAGAAAGATCAAGTGTCACACAAAAACGTATCTAAAGTATAAAAAATGTGAAGGCAAAAATTTTAAAAGGTCATTTACGTAACAATTCAAAAGTTTTTACTTTTAGTATTAAAACGATTAAAATTTAATCACCTGCCCTTTTTAATAATAGCTGAATTTTTATTTTGACAAAAAATTAAAATCAAGCCGTCCGTACTCTATTAATCCAGCCTGTTCAAATAAAAATTGTTTATGTGTAACACAGTTAATTTACTATATAAAGCTGGCTGAAGTATTATGTTTCATCAATTCAAGTTATCACATTAACTCCCAATCATCATATCTTGTGACTTCATCTCCAAAATGGTCCACTCTGTTACCTTCATCCCACTCTTGTTTACTGTGATTTCCGCTGCCACTTTCGCCGATTGGCCTGACCCAAGCGGTTCTACCAGTGTACCAGCTACTATTGTTGTAAAGGCAGGTGAAACCTACGATGGCAACCTCACCAGGTTCATCTCTGGTTGGGGTGGTGGTGACCAATCGGAAGGTCAAGACCCTGTTTTCAACTTGGAAGACGGTGCCACCATCAAGAATGTTGTTCTTGGTGCTCCAGCTGCCGATGGTATTCATTGTGAAGGATCATGTGTGATTGAGAACTGCTGGTGGGAAGACGTTGGAGAAGATGCCGCTACATTCAAAGGAGCTGTTGGAGACACTTATTTGGTTAGCGGTGGTGGAGCCAAGGAAGCCGATGATAAGGTGTTCCAACACAACGGAAATGGTTCTGCTACTATCCAGAATTTCCAGGTAAGAACATGAATTAACGGAAGATAAGCAACATGTTTCTTTTTATCTTTCTGTAAACCTCTAAAAATCCAAAAAAATTCAAAATTTTTCAGGCGGAGAACATTGGAAAGCTCTACCGTTCTTGTGGTAACTGTGTCTACAACGGTGATGATCGTCACGTTGTTATTGACTCAGTAAAACTCACCGGAACCACAAAAGTCATTGCCGGTATCAACGAGAACTACGGTGATTCTGCCACTTTGACCAACATTGAAATCGACGGTACTGTGGAAGTTGTATGTGAAACTTACACCGGAACTACTGACAACAGCGCCGAGCCTGTTTCCGTTTCTGAATACAAACAGACTGAAGACGGTGATGGAAAGTACTGCATCTACACCACTTCTGACTTGACTATCGAGTCTTAAGATAGGCATGAATGTTATGACGAGTTATTCATTAGTTAATTTATAGTAGACAGTTATTTGCGCAAATAAACTAGTATATTATTTATTTTGAAAAATTTTTTTATTACTCAAAAAACAGTGTTGATTAACTTAAGAACAACATTTGAAAAATATAAAAGTGTTTACCAAAAAAGTGTTAAGGAAACCTGATAAAACTTCAAAATTTTGAAAAAGTTAAAAAAAAATTGACTTTACTAGCTGAAAAAACAAACTTTGTAAAATACATAGTAAAATTAACGATTTACTGTTTAAGATTACGTATAAAGATTAAGCTATTTACACATGCATATTCTGATACGAAACAACTGTAAAACAAATTGTAGAATAAAAAAATAGAAATGCGATTATCACATACAGTGGAACTCCTGTATAACGAACTCCTCTATAAAGAAAATCCCGTATGACAAACAACTTTTGAATCCCCGTCTACCACTGCACAGTGCATTTAAAACTCCTATATAACGAAACTCCTTTATAACGAACAAATTTCAAGTCCCCGAACGATTCGTTATACAGGAGTTCCACTGTATTTGCACTTTAACGACAGTGGAACCTCTGTACAAGGAACTCTTGTATGTCAAACAACTTTTGAATCTCCGGCTAATACTACAGAATATTAAAACTTTTGTATAACTAAACCCTTTCATAACAAACAAACTTCAAATCCCATAGCAATTTGATATACAGAGAGTCCACGGTATCTTAAAACACTGCTAAATGAATTGGACTAATCAGTCAATTGACTTATACCTGTTTTTCACTTCATCTAAGCAAATATTACCAAAAAAGAGCTTGCATTTGGGGCCAAGTGATTACCGAGCAGTGATTCATTTACGTGCCCTTTTAATGTTTTAATTTTAAATATTAAAAGTGTTTTGGTTTATACAGCCGGCAGTTTTAAAAAAAGTCAAATATTATTTCAACAATAGCCTTGAACTCAGCAGTACGTACTTTAAGTTTAACCTGATTAAACAAAAGTTTAATTCAGTTCAAATGAAACTTGTTTATGCGTGATGTAACTAAAACTGTATATAAACTGTTGAAAATTTCACTTTTCATCAATTTAACTTGTCGTATTCAACTTCAAATCGGCCTACCTTTCGTGGATTTGATACGAAAATGGTTCACTCTATTACTTTCATCCCTCTTTTGCTTACTGTAGCTTCCGCCGCCTTTTCTTCCTGGCCAAACCCAAGTGGCTCCACAAGTATACCCTCTACCATCACCGTGAAGGCTGGTGAAACGTACGATGGAGAGAGTGCTAGATTCATTTCTGGATGGGGTGGTGGTGACCAAGAAGAAGGTCAAAATCCTCTCTTCAACTTGGAAGATGGTGCCACCATCAAGAACTTGGTTATTGGTGCTCCAGCTGCTGATGGTATTCATTGTTTGGGATCATGTACTATTGAGAATGTGTGGTGGGAAGATGTTGGAGAAGATGCTGCCACTTTCAAAGGATCTTCTAGTGACACCTACTTGGTCAGTGGTGGTGGAGCCAAGGAAGCCGATGACAAGGTGTTCCAACACAACGGAAATGGCACTGTTACTATTAAGAACTTCCAGGTAGGGATAGATGATCGAAGGAAAGAGTTCTTAACTTTTAACTCTTAGTTATAAGACCTACTGTCAACCTTCAAAAGCCTAAAAAAATACAAAATGTTTCAGGCCGAGAACATTGGAAAGCTCTACCGTTCCTGTGGCAACTGTGTCTACAACGGTGACGACCGTCATGTTATCATTGACACAGTAAAGCTGACTGGAACCACTAAAGTCATTGCCGGTATCAACAAGAACTACGGAGACTCAGCCACTTTCTCCAACATTGAAATCGATGGTACTGTGAAGGTTGTATGTGAAACTTACACTGGAACCACTGATAACGATGCTGAGCCCGTTGCCGTTTCTGAGTACACGCAAACTGAAAATGGTGATGGAAAGTACTGCATCTACAAGACTTCTGACTTGCAGATTGACTAATTTGGTAGTGAATGGACGGTGCTACGACAAGTTGTCATTAGTTAATTTATTTTATGATTAGATAGTTATTTGCGCAAATAAACTATTTATAATGCAAAATGGTAAAAACTGAGGTTGACCTTGTATATTTATAACATATATGTTAATACAGTACTCTCTCTATATAAGCAACCCAAAGAGACCGACATTTTGCAAATTGACTTGGCAATACCAAATTTCTTGTTTACTATAAGGATAGTTGCTTATACAGTTGATTCATTATAGGGAGACCTCTGTATATTTCTATTTAGTATTACGGGTACTTTTGTGTTTGAAAACACAAAGTTGATGTTTTGATGTTTTAAAAATTACAGTAAATTAACTTGATTCAAAAAAGTAATCCCTTCGTACTGTTTGACGTAAGTACTAATCAACTTATAGTATCATTACAATACTCAATACTTTGCGTGTAGATTAAAACAGTAATGTTTTGATTAATCCATAATAACACACTGTTGTAAAGCTCTAAAAACTTAATATTCAAAACCTTTATTTTCCTGACATTGTGTTTTTACTACGTATACAAGACGTGCAAAAAGTTCTGTTACAAAACTATTACTATACAGGGAGCGCCAAAAGTTCTGTTACAAAGCTTTTACTAAACAGGGCGCGCCAAAAGTTCTGTTACAAGCTATTGATCGTTTTCTCTATGTTGCGGTTAAATTATTTAAAATTTGTTACTTTAGCTTATTTGTGTTTTTTTCATTGTACAGAGGGAAGTGTTGTTTTACAAGTGCAATTTGACTTGCCGGACTAAAATTTTTTGTTTACCATACGAAGAGTTGCTTATACATATGGTTCACTATATAGAGAGGCCACAGTACCAATTAAAACTAAAAGTTCTAAAGCACGTACGCCATAATAAAGATCTTTGGTAGTATATTGTACGAACATTGTTATTATATTCTGATTTAGAATAAGGAATGATTATAAGATTTTATAATAATTGCGATATTATCCTTGAGCTTCCTCATATGACTTTGAAGATTTTTGAATTATGGAAATGCGAAAACATAACACTGTAAGCTGGCTTTTTATTGTAGAAAAGGATTATGCACACAACGGACGACAATAAGTGTGTGATGTTTGTAAAATTTGTTTTTTGCAAATTTAGTGTTTATTAGAATTGAACTCTTTGGTTTTAGAGATTTTAGATATATATTATTGTTTGTTAAAAAAAGCTACAATTCACGTTTCTCGATCGCGGTACAACTACGGTGCTTAACTAAAAGAGAAAGTACCATACCTACCCCGCTCATAATCAGCTCAAAATTTTTATATAAATTCCTTGTACCACCAATAGTACCCACACAAAATTTTAGTTCGCGCTTTTGAGTTTTAAATTTCAATTATTTTAATTTTTTGCCAATTTGGCAAAGTTGGCATTGTGTTTCAAGCAGTTTTTCGACCCTCCAGTCAAACCACGTTTACAAATTAAAAAATTTAAGTTCATTTAAAGGTGTTGTACTAGTATATTAAAGAAAAGTTCTTAAAAGTCAAAAAATAGCGAAGTTATAAGCCTGAAACACAATGCCAACTTGGTGGGAAATTCAAAACGTCATTTTTTGATTTCTTATTTCTCGCGAGTTCTCGCAAAACGCAATTTAGTACTATGTTGAACATCTTATATCTACATGATTTTTCTATATAAAAAGTTTGAAGTCAATCAGAGCGGGGCAGGTCGGGTACTCTCCTTGTAAGTATTAAAACAATGTTTGAAAAATTTTAAAAACTAACAATTTTTGTATAATGGCGAGAATTTTACTACGTAGATTCAAACCGCTACCTTTATTTGACCTTTGTATTGTAATAAAACACCTACAATCATAAACATCTTAAAGGTATAAATGTCTAAATCCTGATCACTGACACTTAGTTTTTGTCATACTTTGTGTTTTTTTGGGTACCTGGCACGGTTTCCCAAGTCGACCGCTAGTCTCATGGATTATTTGTTTGTATTATTTCAAATAAACATAATGTTTGTTGTGTTGTAATTACAATTAGTTAAATCGCATTAAATTTCTTTTTTACATCCGTTTGTGATTGTGCAATATCGTATTGTCAATGCTATGTGAGCAGATATAAAGGTTAATATGGTTTTTTGTATTTGAAATGATATGCGGAGAAGTCATGGTATTATCAGGCCGTTCACTTAATTCTGCGCCCCTTTTTAAGAAAATTTCTGGCGTTATGGAGCGCAGAATTAAGTGAACAACCTAATATATTAGGTGCCGACATAAAGAACCCGCCATACTTTTCCTGTAATTTCATGTAAAAAAAGGCGGGTTCTTTATGTCGGCATTTATGAAATTTTTTAATAGGCTAACAAGAATAGTCTGTCTTGTGTTCAAAAAGCTATTTTCTAGCAAAGAAGTAGGTATTCTAGCTATTATATAATGTACACAAGCTTTGTAAATGTTTTAAAATAATTTATTATAATTGTAACATTTAAAAACAATTATATACACAAAAACTCGAGTTGATACTAAGAATACTTTTTGAAAATTTTTTGTTTTTTCCGGTCATTCGAAGTCCATAAATGTGTCGTCTTCTGGCTCCAAACATCTCACTTTCTTAGGTGGTTCTCCCTCACAGCTGTATGTTGCCGCACGTTTCTGTGCTTTTCGATTTTTTTTATTAATTAATTCCTAAAAATATATATTTTTAAATTTAGTTAAAGTTATAAAACGTATTTAAACTAGCGTTAAAATAGAGCTAACAAAGAAAGTACCCTACCTGTCCCGCTCAGAATCAGCTCAAAATTTTTAAATGAATTCTTTGTACCACCAATAGTACCCATAAAAAATTTTAGCTTGCGCTTTCGAGTTTTAAATTTGAAATATTTGAATTTTTCGCCGATTCGGCGTTGTGTTGGCACTTTTTTTGACTGTCCAGACAAGCTACGCTTACAACTTTAAAAATGTAGGTTTATTTAAAGGTATTCTACTAGTATATCAAAGAAAGATTGATAAAAGTCAAAAAATGGCAAAGTCATAAGCTTAAAGCAAAATGCCAATTTGGCGTGGTATTCAAAACGCAATTTTTTGATCTGGATTTACTCAAGATTTCGTGGAAAGGGCGATTTAGTAATTTGCTGAAAATCTTATATTTACATGATCCTTCAATAAAAAAATTTGAACGAAATCTGAGTGTTGCAGGTCCGTTACCTTCCTTGTTAGTTATTTATTTTATTGATTTTAAAACGTTGACAATATTCTAATATTGCAGTATAGAAGAATTATAGAACAACAAGTGTTGTTATTTAAGAAACGTCATTTACTTGGAAAAAATAAAAAAGGATAATTACTTTTTGAACAACTTAATATACTACTATAATATGCAGCTGAAAATTTATAAACTTACTCTAAGCCTATCGAGGCGGGTTCCTAATTGTTTTTTCAAAACTTCGATTCTAAAATCGAAGCGGCCGCCGCCAAATCCCTCTGGCCATGTTCTTTCAACAGGTTGCCGCTCTGGGAAGGGTTCCACTGTGAGCGGCGAGTTCAACGACAACATCATCTTGATTGAGGTCCAAAGATAAAATAAAAAACTTTGTTTAAAAGATGTAATGCGTTTCTAGCGCATCCATAACGCCAGAGTATGCGTAATTATCAACGCTTAATTCGGTAGACAAAAAAGGGAAACTTTATCTACAGGTAAGACTTATGTAATGTCGTTAGCGTCGTATTTTATACTTGAGGTTTGTTGGAAACTTTTTTTGGATAACATTTCTAAACAATAGCTGTACTGGATCTCTAAATAACATGTTAATATGTTATTATGGATATTTCATGCCACTTGTTTGATTAAGATGAAGATCCGATCGCAGATGTACATTTACAAAATTAGAAGCTTAAAATAAAACAAGAGCGTAAACTGTAAGCGGCTTACGGTAATTAGTCAGAAATATATTTATGACAGTATTTTGTTTTTGTGTTAAATTGCAAGGCATGTATTTTATGTTTTGTTGGGGTATTTTTTAATTGTTTGAAATTTCAAAAAATTTAAAAATTTTTTTAAATTTTTTAAATTTTAATCTATAAATTGAAAAAAAATTTAAATTTAAAAAAAAGTTTTTTTGTACTATTAGAGGCCGACATAAAGAACCCACCATTTTTTCAGGGAATTACAGGCAAAGCATGGCGGGTTCTTTATGTCGGCACCTAATACATTATATAACAGAAAAATTTTTAAAGTTTCAACTTTCAAACTTTAATTTTTTTTTGTTTTCAAATATTTTTGAACTTAAAAACACGTATTTAATAAAAATATTATCCTTGAACAAATCCTTCAGACAAACTTAATACCATCTTAATGCCAAAAGTACAACATATTCCATCCTTGTCGGTTTTAGGTGTTACAAAATCAAGTATCAAATCCTTATGTTTTGAAATCTTGCGAAATCGGCGAGTATCGAGTACTAAGAAGCGAAATTCGGCTAGTATCAAGTACTAAGAAGCAGATATTTTTTAGATTTTATTAATTTTCCACATCCGGTGTTCGTACAAAAACACCTACATGTTTTTTTTGCAGACGTGCATCTTCACTGTTTTTTATGATGATATGTTTTTTAATTTTTTTATGTGTAGTAATGTAAGGGTGTTTAGATAGAAAAACAAAGTTGTAGCTTACGTTGCGACTGTTTTTTTACTTGAAATAGATTTGAAGATTAGTATGTTTTAACAAGTCACGTACTGTTTACAGTAGAAATGTCTGATAAGCAGCAGATGGCTAGTGATTCAAGTGCTAGCTCTAGTTTAGAGCCCTAGCCCAGAGCCCTAGCCCAGAGTCCTAGCCCAGAGTCCTAGCCCAGAGTCCTAGCCCAGAGCCCTAGCCCAGAGCCCTAGCCCAGAGCCCTAGCCCAGAGCCCTAGCCCAGAGCCCTAGCCCAGAGCCCTAGCCCAGAGCCCTAGCCCTTACTATAAGTTTTTACATTACTTCCAACTTTACTATAGCCAATATACAGTGTTTAATTCCGATAAGTTTAGAATTAAACACTATATCATATTGTACTTTTTTTAAAATTTCTAATTAAATTTTGTGTTTGAACAATTAACTTGTACTATAACTGTATAATCTAGCATGTCTTCTGTGTACAACAAGATCAATTTTTTATTGTGTACGTATCTTACTATTAATCCACTGTGTATATGTGTATATCTTTCTTCTGTACTACTGTATTAGTTTTTACTTTTTAAGTCTTCTAAATTTTTAAAACATGCCATTGTTTAAGGTATGTTATCTTATATATTAGGTGCTGACATAAAGAACCCACCATCTTTTACAGGAAACTACAGGAATAGTATGGCGGGTTCTTTATGTCGGCACATAATATATCACATTTCTTGCATCCTTAATAATTTTAAACAAAGAATTTTGAAATTTAAAAAAATTTTTTATATATTTGTCTAGAACATGTTCAGATTCAAGGCCTAATCTCATTGGAATTAAATATTTAAGCAACCGCTTCTAATAGTACAATGTGAAGGTGTATTTACTATTTTGGATATTTAAATTAATACGGATTAACTTCGGTCTTCTGGATCTTATGTTTCTTCGTAACAATGTAAAAATGTTTTTACACAGTTTTTGGAGATTAAAATATTTTGAAATTAGTGGGGATTAGGCAACATATGATTGTATTGTTCAAGATGTATGGTCTATTAATACTTTGTTTTTTTTAATCTTCGGGAAAAATGATTACTGTAGCTTCCGGTAAATGGTAGCAGGTTTATTGCTCATTTTTTGTGGTAGGGGGAGGGGGGAGGGTTGGAGTTAGAAAAAAATGTTATTTTATAGGCAGGAACGAGGTTTTTTGAAGTCAGTGGTACTATTTTGAGAAGGAGGTACAGTACTACGATCCTGAGTCTATATTTGAAAAAGACCAACTAAGTTAGCACACCTGGGCTCAAAGGTAAGACTAAAACATTGAGTTTGGTCTGGTTCCTTTGCAGAATACCCACCAGGCCTTGAGGCTATATTTGAAATGAACCGGTTGGGCCAGAACAAATTGGCCTGAGGCTTGTGAGCCCCGCTCTATACCAAGGCCTAACCTGGTTGCCATACTGTCTATGGGTGACAAAACCCAATTGTTTGATTAAAATTTTAAATCTTTGAACTTTCTCACACGTCTTATTCACAGAGAAAAAATAAAATACAAAACAAAACTTTTTCAGTCGCTGAGAAAGTTTTAAAACAAAAACTTTGCTTTTTGGCGAAGCCACACACAACGTCGTTCTTAAAAAGCAAATATTAAAAATGTCATCAAAAACTTGTGTAAGATACAAAAAGAACTTTAATGTGTGACTTTACATTGAAAATTACTGTAGTAATAAAAGTGATATGGCCAGAGCTAGACAGACACTTTTAGTCTAGAGGCGGGGGTCGAAAAAATCAAGACAGATAAATCCACAGGGGGGACCAAGTTCAACTTTTTTTTCAAAAATTTTTTTTCGGGGGGGGGGTGTTCTCCATATGACTCTTAATTGTTGTAGTAATGATCGTGCTACAGCTAGAACGCTAAAACACATTTTTTAATAAATTTTTAAAAATTTTTTAAAAAAATTAAACAATTTTCATTTTGTATTATTTTAACATTTTTTAATCTTTAAGTTTAAATATCGCCGGATTAACCCGCTAGATTAGTCGTTAATCAAATTAAATTTGTAAACAATTTATTTATTTACTATAGCAATTTTTAAGCACTCGGATTGAATGACCGATCTTTAATGTGAATATTGAAGATAACTTCCGTTTTTTAAGCCAAGTTATAGCAAAATATACTGTAACTTTGGTAGTGCATACTATTTTTAGAAATAGTGTAAGGTGATAGGGTAAATTCAGTTAGGGTAGGATAGGTTAAGGTAGGGTAGAATATGTAATTTTAATAAAAAATATAGTAGCTAGAGCTAAAGCTAGAGCTAGAGCTGAAGCTAAAGCTAGAGCTAGAGCTAAAGCTAGAGCTAGAGCTAAAGCTAGAGCTAGAGCTAGAGCTAGAGCTAGAGCTGAAGCTAAAGCTAGAGCTAGAGCTAAAGCTAGAGCTAGAGCTAGAGCTAAAGCTAGAGCTAAAGCTAGGGCTAGAGCTAGAGCTAGAGCTAAAGCTAAAGCTAAAGCTAGAGCTAAAGCTAAAGCTAAAGCTAGGGCTAGAGCTAGAGCTAGAGCTAGAGCTAAAGCTAGAGCTAGAGCTAGAGCTAGAGCTAAAGCTAGAGCTAGAGCTAGAGCTAGAGCTAAAGCTAGAGCTAGAGCTAGAGCTAGAGCTGAAGCTAAAGCTAGAGCTAAAGCTAGAGCTAGAGCTAGAGCTAGAGCTAGAGCTAGAGCTAGAGCTAGAGCTAGAGCTAGAGCTAGAGCTAAAGCTAGAGCTAGAGCTGAAGCTAAAGCTAGAGCTAGAGCTAAAGCTAGAGCTAGAGCTAGAGCTAAAGCTAGAGCTAGAGCTAGAGCTATAGCTAGAGCTAGAGCTAGAGCTAGAGCTAAAGCTAAAGCTAGAGCTAAAGCTAAAGCTAAAGCTAGAGCTAGAGCTGAAGCTAAAGCTAGAGCTAGAGCTAGAGCTAAAGCTAAAGCTAGAGCTAGAGCTAGAGCTAGAGCTAGAGCTAGAGCTAAAGCTAGAGCTAGAGCTGAAGCTAAAGCTAGGGCTAGAGCTAGAGCTAAAGCTAAAGCTAGAGCTAAAGCTAAAGCTAGAGCTAGAGCTAGAGCTAGAGCTGAAGCTAAAGCTAGAGCTAGAGCTAAAGCTAAAGCTAGAGCTAGAGCTAGAGCTAGAGCTAAAGCTAGAGCTAGAGCTAGAGCTAGAGCTGAAGCTAGAGCTAAAGCTAGAGCTAGAGCTAAAGCTAGAGCTAGAGCTAGAGCTAAAGCTACAGCTAGAGCTAGAGCTAGAGCTAGAGCTAGAGCTAGAGCTAGAGCTAGAGCTAGAGCTAGAGCTAAAGCTAGAGCTAAAGCTAGGGCTAGAGCTAGAGCTAGAGCTAAAGCTAAAGCTAGGGCTAGAGCTAGAGCTAGAGCTAAAGCTAGAGCTAGAGCTAGAGCTAGAGCTAGAGCTAGAGCTAGAGCTAAAGCTAAAGCTAGGGCTAGAGCTAGAGCTAGAGCTGAAGCTAAAGCTAGAGCTAAAGCTAGAGCTAGAGCTAGAGCTAGAGCTAAAGCTAAAGCTAGAGCTAGAGCTAGAGCTAGAGCTGAAGCTAAAGCTAGGGCTAGAGCTAGAGCTAGAGCTAAAGCTAAAGCTAGAGCTAAAGCTAAAGCTAGAGCTAGAGCTAGAGCTAGAGCTAAAGCTAGAGCTAAAGCTAGAGCTAGAGCTGAAGCTAAAGCTAGAGCTAGAGCTAGAGCTAGAGCTAGAGCTAGAGCTAGAGCTAAAGCTAGAGCTAAAGCTAGAGCTAGAGCTAGAGCTAGAGCTAAAGCTAAAGCTAGAGCTAGAGCTAGAGCTAGAGCTGAAGCTAAAGCTAGGGCTAGAGCTAGAGCTAGAGCTAAAGCTAAAGCTAGAGCTAAAGCTAAAGCTAGAGCTAGAGCTAGAGCTAGAGCTAAAGCTAGAGCTAAAGCTAGAGCTAGAGCTGAAGCTAAAGCTAGAGCTAGAGCTAGAGCTAGAGCTAAAGCTAGAGCTAGAGCTAGAGCTAGAGCTAAAGCTAAAGCTAGAGCTAGAGCTAGAGCTAGAGCTGAAGCTAAAGCTAGGGCTAGAGCTAGAGCTAGAGCTAAAGCTAAAGCTAGAGCTAAAGCTAAAGCTAGAGCTAGAGCTAGAGCTAGAGCTAGAGCTAGAGCTAGAGCTAGAGCTAGAGCTAGAGCTAGAGCTAGAGCTAGAGCTAGAGCTAAAGCTAGAGCTAAAGCTAGAGCTAGAGCTAGAGCTAGAGCTAAAGCTAAAGCTAGAGCTAGAGCTAGAGCTAGAGCTGAAGCTAAAGCTAGGGCTAGAGCTAGAGCTAGAGCTAAAGCTAAAGCTAGAGCTAAAGCTAAAGCTAGAGCTAGAGCTAGAGCTAGAGCTAGAGCTAGAGCTGAAGCTAAAGCTAGAGCTAGAGCTAGAGCTAGAGCTAAAGCTAGAGCTAGAGCTAGAGCTGAAGCTAAAGCTAGAGCTAGAGCTAGAGCTAGAGCTAGAGCTAGAGCTAGAGCTGAAGCTAAAGCTAGAGCTAGAGCTAGAGCTAGAGCTAGAGCTAAAGCTAGAGCTAGAGCTAGAGCTAGAGCTAGAGCTAGAGCTAAAGCTAGAGCTAGAGCTAGAGCTAGAGCTAGAGCTAAAGCTAGAGCTAGAGCTAGAGCTAGAGCTAGAGCTAAAGCTAAAGCTAGAGCTAGAGCTAGAGCTGAAGCTAAAGCTAGAGCTAGAGCTAGAGCTAAAGCTAGAGCTAGAGCTAGAGCTAGAGCTAGAGCTAAAGCTAGAGCTAGGGCTAGAGCTAGAGCTAAAGCTAAAGCTAGAGCTAGAGCTGAAGCTAAAGCTAGAGCTAGAGCTAAAGCTAAAGCTAGAGCTAGAGCTAGAGCTAGAGCTAGAGCTAGAGCTGAAGCTAAAGCTAGGGCTAGAGCTAGAGCTAGAGCTAAAGCTAAAGCTAGAGCTAAAGCTAAAGCTAGAGCTAGAGCTAGAGCTGAAGCTAAAGCTAGAGCTAGAGCTAAAGCTAGAGCTAGAGCTAGAGCTAGAGCTAAAGCTAGAGCTAGAGCTAGAGCTAGAGCTGAAGCTAAAGCTAGGGCTAGAGCTAGAGCTAAAGCTAAAGCTAGAGCTAGAGCTAGAGCTGAAGCTAAAGCTAGGGCTAGAGCTAAAGCTAGAGCTAGAGCTAGAGCTAGAGCTAGAGCTAGAGCTAAAGCTAGAGCTAGAGCTAGAGCTAGAGCTAGAGCTAAAGCTAAAGCTAAAGCTAGGGCTAAAGCTAGAGCTAGAGCTGAAGCTAAAGCTAGAGCTAGAGCTAAAGCTAGAGCTAGAGCTAAAGCTAGAGCTAGAGCTAGAGCTAGAGCTAGAGCTAGAGCTAGAGCTAGAGCTAGAGCTAGAGCTAAAGCTAGAGCTAGAGCTAGAGCTAGAGCTAGAGCTAGAGCTAGAGCTGAAGCTAAAGCTAGGGCTAGAGCTAGAGCTAGAGCTAAAGCTAAAGCTAGAGCTAAAGCTAAAGCTAGAGCTAGAGCTAGAGCTAGAGCTGAAGCTAAAGCTAGAGCTAGAGCTAAAGCTAGAGCTAGAGCTAGAGCTGAAGCTAAAGCTAGAGCTAGAGCTAGAGCTAGAGCTAAAGCTAGAGCTAGAGCTAGAGCTAGAGCTAGAGCTAGAGCTAGAGCTAGAGCTGAAGCTAAAGCTAGGGCTAGAGCTAGAGCTAGAGCTAAAGCTAAAGCTAGAGCTAAAGCTAAAGCTAGGGCTAGAGCTAAAGCTAGAGCTAGAGCTAGAGCTAGAGCTAGAGCTGAAGCTAAAGCTAGGGCTAGAGCTAAAGCTAAAGCTAGAGCTAGAGCTGAAGCTAAAGCTAGGGCTAGAGCTAAAGCTAGAGCTAGAGCTAGAGCTAGAGCTAGAGCTAAAGCTAGAGCTAGAGCTAGAGCTAGAGCTAGAGCTAAAGCTAAAGCTAAAGCTAGGGCTAAAGCTAGAGCTAGAGCTGAAGCTAAAGCTAGAGCTAGAGCTAAAGCTAGAGCTAGAGCTAAAGCTAGAGCTAGAGCTAGAGCTAGAGCTAGAACTAAAGCTAGAGCTAGAGCTAAAGCTAGAGCTAGAGCTAGAGCTAGAGCTAGAGCTAGAGCTAGAGCTAGAGCTAGAGCTAAAGCTAGAGCTAGAGCTAGAGCTAGAGCTAGAGCTAGAGCTAGAGCTGAAGCTAAAGCTAGGGCTAGAGCTAGAGCTAGAGCTAAAGCTAAAGCTAGAGCTAAAGCTAGAGCTAGAGCTAGAGCTGAAGCTAAAGCTAGAGCTAGAGCTAAAGCTAGAGCTAGAGCTAGAGCTGAAGCTAAAGCTAGAGCTAGAGCTAGAGCTAGAGCTAGAGCTAGAGCTAGAGCTAGAGCTAGAGCTAGAGCTAGAGCTAGAGCTAGAGCTAGAGCTGAAGCTAAAGCTAGGGCTAGAGCTAGAGCTAAAGCTAGAGCTAAAGCTAAAGCTAGGGCTAGAGCTAAAGCTAGAGCTAGAGCTAGAGCTAGAGCTAGAGCTGAAGCTAAAGCTAGGGCTAGAGCTAAAGCTAAAGCTAGAGCTAGAGCTGAAGCTAAAGCTAGGGCTAGAGCTAAAGCTAGAGCTAGAGCTAGAGCTAGAGCTAAAGCTAGAGCTAGAGCTAGAGCTAGAGCTAGAGCTAAAGCTAAAGCTAAAGCTAGGGCTAAAGCTAGAGCTAGAGCTGAAGCTAAAGCTAGAGCTAGAGCTAAAGCTAGAGCTAGAGCTAAAGCTAGAGCTAGAGCTAGAGCTAGAGCTAGAACTAAAGCTAGAGCTAGAGCTAGAGCTAGAGCTAGAGCTAAAGCTAAAGCTAGGGCTAGGGCTAGAGCTAGAGCTAAAGCTAAAGCTAGAGCTAAAGCTAAAGCTAGAGCTAGAGCTAGAGCTAGAGCTAGAGCTAGAGCTAGAGCTGAAGCTAAAGCTAGGGCTAGAGCTAGAGCTAGAGCTAAAGCTAAAGCTAGAGCTAAAGCTAAAGCTAGAGCTAGAGCTAGAGCTGAAGCTAAAGCTAGGGCTAGAGCTAGAGCTAGAGCTAAAGCTAAAGCTAGAGCTAAAGCTAAAGCTAGAGCTAGAGCTAGAGCTGAAGCTAAAGCTAGAGCTAGAGCTAAAGCTAAAGCTAGAGCTAGAGCTAGAGCTAGAGCTAAAGCTAGAGCTAGAGCTAGAGCTAGAGCTAGAGCTAGAGCTAGAGCTAGAGCTAGAGCTAGAGCTAGAGCTAGAGCTAGAGCTAGAGCTAGAGCTGAAGCTAAAGCTAGGGCTAGAGCTAGAGCTAAAGCTAAAGCTAGAGCTAGAGCTGAAGCTAAAGATAGAGCTAGAGCTAGAGCTAGAGCTAAAGCTAGAGCTAGAGCTAGAGCTAGAGCTAAAGCTAAAGCTAAAGCTAAAGCTAGGGCTAAAGCTAGAGCTAGAGCTGAAGCTAAAGCTAGAGCTAGAGCTAAAGCTAGAGCTAGAGCTAAAGCTAGAGCTAGAGCTAAAGCTAGAGCTAGAGCTAGAGCTAGAGCTAGAGCTAGAGCTAGAGCTAAAGCTAGAGCTAGAGCTAGAGCTAGAGCTAGAGCTAGAGCTAGAGCTAGAGCTAGAGCTAGAGCTAGAGCTAGAGCTAGAGCTAGAGCTAAAGCTAGAGCTAGAGCTAGAGCTAGAGCTAAAGTTAAAGCTAGAGCTAGAGCTAAAGCTAGAGCTAGAGCTAGAGCTAGAGCTAGAGCTAGAGCTAAAGCTAGAGCTAGAGCTAGAGCTAGAGCTAAAGTTAAAGCTAGAGCTAGAGCTAAAGCTAAAGCTAGAGCTAGAGCTAGAGCTAGAGCTAAAGCTAAAGCTAGAGCTAGAGCTAAAGCTAAAGCTAGAGCTAGAGCTAAAGCTAAAGCTAGAGCTAGAGCTAGAGCTAAAGCTAAAGCTAGAGCTAGAGCTAGAGCTAGAGCTAAAGCTAAAGCTAGAGCTAGAGCTAAAGCTAAAGCTAGAGCTAGAGCTAAAGCTAAAGCTAGAGCTAGAGCTAAAGCTAAAGCTAGAGCTAGAGCTAAAGCTAAAGCTAGAGCTAGAGCTAGAGCTAGAGCTAAAGCTAAAGCTAGAGCTAGAGCTAGAGCTAGAGCTAGAACTAGAACTGGGGCTAGGACTAGAGTTAGGGTTCTGGGCTAGGGATTTGAGTTAAGCCTCGGGCTTTATTACAACTTTCAGCACAAAACGTATAACCACAATTTTAAATTTTGTATTTAAAAAAACTAAAACTCAAATCTTCTCCTACGTAACAATTGCATTCTTTTTTCCAATTTGCTACAAACCTTACATTGTTAATTGTATCAAGTCACAAGACTCCGTTACCAAGAATAGTAGGTATAACGGAAATGATTGTAAAATGACGAAAAAGGTTCAATTATTTTTCTCATCAATAATATCAGAACATAATGGAACGTTTCGGTGTGATTCTGAAGTTTGTCATAGACTTGCCGTGCATTTCAAATTGAAAAATTTCTTCTTGGGGGTAGAAGATGAAGGAATCTTCCGGTTAATGGAGTTTATGGCATGATGTGATATGTGCGCTGTGAGAAGAATGTTAGTGAGGTAAACTAAGGTATACCGTACCAAAACCAACTTTTTTCAAAATTTAAAATGTTTTCAAATACTACATTAAGAAGCCATTACAAGTCTATATCAACCAAAAAATGTAAAAAAATTTTTTCATCGCTATGTCTTACTTACTGTATTAATTAAAATTTTTCAACAATTTCGAACGTTTTTGTTAATTTGTCTCGACTGTTACGTCAGTTTCATTTCTTGTAGTGTTAACTTCCAAATTTAAAGTCTTTAACAAAATTAAGACTGTCAATTTCAAATTGTCTAAATTTTTTTAAAACTAACATTAAGTTAGTTCCGGGCAACTTCCTGTACGTCAAATCGTCTGGAAGACCAAGAAAGAGTAAGTTATGGTAGGGTGAAAAAGAAAGGTATGGTAGGGTAAGAGTAAGGTAAGCGTAAGGCTGGGTAGAGCAAGGCAAAAGAGAATAGGGTAAGGATATGACAAGTGTAAGGCAAGAATAGAGCAAGGGTAGGGCAAGGGTAAAGCAAAGTTAAGACAAGGGTAGGGCAAAAGTAAGGAAAAGGTAAGACAAGGGTAAAACAAAGTAGGGTAGGGTAGGGTAGGGTAGGGTAGGGTAGGGTATGGTAGGGTAGGGTAAGGTAGAGTAGGGTAGGGTAGGGTAGGGTAGGGTAGGGTAGGGTAGGGTAGGGTAGGGTAGGGTAGGGTAGGGTAGGGTAGGGTATGGTAGGGTAGGGTAAGGTAGAGTAGGGTAGGGTAGGGTAAGGTAGAGTAGGGTAGGGTAGGGTAGGGTAGGGTAGGGTAGGGGTAGGGTAGGGTAGGGTAGGGGTGGGGTAGGGTAGGGTAGGGTAGGGTAGGGTAGGGTAGGGTAGGGTATGGTAGGGTAGGGTAAGGTAGAGTAGGGTAGGGTAGGGTAAGGTAGAGTAGGGTAGGGTAGGGTAGGGTAGGGTAGGGGTAGGGTAGGGTGGGGTAGGGTAGGGGTGGGGTAGGGTGGGGTAGGGTAGGGTAGGGTAGGGTAGGGTAGGGTAGGGTAGGGTAGGGTAGGGCAGGGTAGGGCAGGGTAGGGTAGGGTAGGGTAGGGTAGGGTAGGGCAGGGTAGGGTAGGGTAGGGTAGGGGTAGGGTAGGGTAGGGTAGGGTAGGGTAGGGTAGGGTAGGGTAGGGTAGGGTAGGGTAGGGTAGGGTAGGGTAGGGTAGGGTAGGGGTAGGGTAGGGTAGGGTAGGGTAGGGTAGGGTAGGGTAGGGTAGGGTAGGGTAGGGTAGGGTAGGGTGGTCGCTATGTCTTACTTACTGTATTAATTAAAATTTTTCAACAATTTCGAACGTTTTTGTTAATTTGTCTCGACTGTTACGTCAGTTTCATTTCTTGTAGTGTTAACTTCCAAATTTAAAGTCTTTAACAAAATTAAGACTGTCAATTTCAAATTGTCTAAATTTTTTTAAAACTAACATTAAGTTAGTTCCGGGCAACTTCCTGTACGTCAAATCGTCTGGAAGACCAAGAAAGAGTAAGTTATGGTAGGGTGAAAAAGAAAGGTATGGTAGGGTAAGAGTAAGGTAAGCGTAAGGCTGGGTAGAGCAAGGCAAAAGAGAATAGGGTAAGGATATGACAAGTGTAAGGCAAGAATAGAGCAAGGGTAGGGCAAGGGTAAAGCAAAGTTAAGACAAGGGTAGGGCAAAAGTAAGGAAAAGGTAAGACAAGGGTAAAACAAAGTAGGGTAGGGTAGGGTAGGGTAGGGTAGGGTAGGGTAGGGTATGGTAGGGTAGGGTAAGGTAGAGTAGGGTAGGGTAGGGTAGGGTAGGGTAGGGTAGGGTAGGGTAGGGTAGGGTAGGGTAGGGTAGGGTATGGTAGGGTAGGGTAAGGTAGAGTAGGGTAGGGTAGGGTAAGGTAGAGTAGGGTAGGGTAGGGGTAGGGTAGGGTAGGGTAGGGTAGGGTAGGGTAGGGTAGGGTGGGGTAGGGTAGGGTAGGGTAGGGTAGGGTAGGGTAGGGTAGGGTATGGTAGGGTAGGGTAAGGTAGAGTAGGGTAGGGTAGGGTAAGGTAGAGTAGGGTAGGGTAGGGTAGGGTAGGGTAGGGTAGGGTAGGGTGGGGTAGGGTAGGGTGGGGGTAGGGTGGGGGTAGGGTAGGGTAGGGTAGGGTAGGGTAGGGTAGGGTAGGGTAGGGTAGGGTAGGGCAGGGTAGGGCAGGGTAGGGTAGGGTAGGGTAGGGCAGGGTAGGGTAGGGTAGGGTAGGGTAGGGTAGGGTAGGGTAGGGTAGGGTAGGGTAGGGTAGGGTAGGGTAGGGTAGGGTAGGGTAGGGTAGGGTAGGGTAGGGTAGGGTAGGGTAGGGTAGGGAGTAGGGTAGGGTAGGGTAGGGTAGGGTAGGGGTAGGGTAGGGGTAGGGTAGGGTAGGGTAGGGTAGGGTAGGGTAGGGTAGGGTAGGGTAGGGTAGGGTAGGGTAGGGTAGGGTAGGGTAGGGTAGGGTAGGGTAGGGTAGGGCAGGGTAGGGTAGGGTAGGGTAGGATGTGGTACGGAAAGTAGACTAACATATTTTAAAAAAAATTGAATTTCAAACTTAATTTCATGCACTACCGTAATCCAATTAGCATTTTTTTTCTTACTCACCCTTAACTTTCGTAATCGATTGATCTCAATTTTCTTTTGACGTAGTGATGAAATCACTTTTTTTGCCGCCGTTCAGACCGTGGGAACGAGACGGTGATGAAATTTGCGATTCGAATTCGGATCAATTTTGAAACTTTTAATGTCCTGACTTTGAACTTTTAACGATTTTGAATGATCGGCTTAGTGAAGCGGAAGTTTTAAAGGCCCCCCCCCCCGGAGGGGGATATTTTTGGGTACTTGAACTTGAATTGGTATAAGTTACTGTATTTTTGTAAAAAACGTATCATTAGATAGTTTAAATAATTCTGTGCCCCCTTTTAATGCAGCTTTTTAGGCTTTGTGAGCACAGGATTATTTGAACAACGTTTTGAAATTAAATTGTTTTTGTTTTGAATAAAAACCAAAGTTACTGTAACATATTCTATGATACCCACTTCCGGGCGGGTGATATTTTTTTGGGCGAGTTAAAGACGGACTTTTCAACTACTACAATTTATGAGGTTATTAAAATTTATTGGTTTTGGTGCTTTTTGTATTTTATATGTACTATTATACTTTGTTTTTATATTTTTAATCACTATAACATCATTTTGGATAGTGAAGGTAATTGCTCTTTTGTTTTGACAATTTTAACTATGATATAAATTTGCGACTATACGTTTTGTTATTGAAAATTTAACTAAAAAAGCGTCATAGTGCATACTTTCGAATTCAAAAAAATATAATACATAACACAAATGACTTTTTGTAATGTGGTATGGTTAAGATAAATATTGAAGTGAACTTTGTTGTATGAATGTTTAATACTCTAGCCATACCGTTTGTCGTATTTATATAGCTCTGCCCTAATTTTATTGTGGCGTTATCGCAGGTTTTTTATTGCCAAAATCTAGCGTATACCGTAGTTTTTCTATATTTTTATTCTATCCTTGTTCTTTTCATAATATTATAATGTATTCTTAGTTCTCTATAGTCTTGTTTTAATTTTACTAAAGGCCTTATAAAGCACAAATTGAGTTTTGGTCTTGCACTACTTATGCTCTACCTAACATTTTTTGCTGAGCCTTTTGCATGCCTTTGGACTGCTTTTGTCCTGTCTTTGCCCTGTCTTGCCTTTTCCTTACTTTTGGTCTACCTATTGTTAGTCTTAGCTCTAGCTTTAGCCTAGTTATGTCTCTGTCTCCTTTTATTTAGTAAAAACGGCCTAATTTTGGCTCTGCGCTTTGTTTTCCTACAGTACCTTTTTTTAAAAATAATACAAAATTTTGTCATACTCGAAATTTGCATTTTGTTATTGCCACATCTTCTTGACATTACATGCTTGCATACGTGCCATTCTCCATCTACTTTAACGTGTATTATACAAGCTTCTGCTGAAAAAGCACGGCCACTTACAGTATCTACAAAAACTTTGACGTAAAAGTGCATGCTTATTATGTCGTTATTCTGTTTTGGCATTTTCTTGTTTTTGGTCACAGTTTCTATCTACAAAATTTTTTTACTACGTAAAGCTTTTTACCACGTTGATGTAGCACTGTTATGGTATACGCAAAGATAGCACAGTAAAGTCATTTTGTTGGGGCGGCAAATTAAATTTACTGAGCAGAAATACCACGGTAATAACATACTACGTAAAGATAGCACAGTAAATTGTTATACTATGGTGAACTGTTTTACTACGCAAACATAGCACAGTAAATTGGCATTGAAACGGTTACATTTACATGATAATTGCTTTTTATTTCCAAGGTAATTTGTCGTTTCAAGGTAATTTGTGGCTTTTTAAAAATAAATTGTCGTGTCTTTTTTTAACTGACACTTGACTTTGACATAAACATTACAATATTGTTGTACAATAAGTAAACGTTCAGTAATTACAGTTATTTTTACATATGACATACTAAAGTAAAGTAGCAACGTACTTAAGATAAACATTGAAGTAGCACTGGTAGCACAGTAAAGTAGTTACAGACGGCGATAAAAAATATTTTTATAATATTAATAATACTAGGTGGG